AGTTGATATTACTATCTTCTCTCTTTTGTAAAGAGTTATTTATTTTACGGAGTGATAGTGAAACAGAGGGAGCAAGAGAGAGATCTTCCACCCATGGGTTCACTCTCCCTAACCCTGTAACAGTTAGGCCTGGGCCAGTCTGCAGCCCGAAACCAGGAGCTAGGAACTCCATCGGGGTCTCCCACATGAGTGTCAGGGACTTGCATCCTTGGGCCACCCACTGCTGCTTTCCCAGGCTCATCAGCAGGGGACTGCACTGAAAGCAGTGGCTGAACTTGTGGTACCCAATACCTGGCCCTGACCGTGAGCTTTCCAAGTACCCCGTCCTGCCTCGATTACAGCATCACTTACATTCTCTATTAGACAGTCACCTTAAAAGTCCATGTCTTAATTATCTTCCTGTATCAAGTGACTCAAATTCTAAGGAGATTAATATAAATGTAATGAATGCATTGGCAGATGAGCCTAAACAAATGACTGAAACACCCTCAACACTACTGTTAAAAAAAGTTCTCCAGAAAATGCCATTGGACAGTGACTAAGCACAAAATAGCTATAAAGGCTAGAAAATACTTCATGGACCCGGTGGTGCTGAACTTAGTCCTTGAGGAATGAACTATCGGCAGTCCAACAAAGAGTAGTGGACGGAAGGAGGATCCCAGGAGAGCAAGGAATATTGCAAAGCACTGAAAAAGGAAAACAGAAAACCTGCCATGGACAAATGGCAGAACCACTGGCCTGAAAGGGACTCCTTCGTTTCAAGGCCAGGGGGAATCGTAGAAGGTTTTGGAACTGCCAACTAGCTTGCTCATAAATGGGCTATGAGAAGTGTGATTACAATACATGGAATGGACTGGAAGTAGAAAGATAGTAGACCCAAAGAGAAAAACTAAACAATTAAGAGACCACACGTAGGAAGCAAAAAGACTTGAAACAGCAATAAAATGAAATAAAATTAATGAACATAAGACAGTTACATCTACCGGCTCATTTGTGTTTGAAAGTTCCAGCAGTATCTCCTTGGTTTCCTCACTCCTGCCTTTATCACATCTTTAGTTTCAGTCATGAACATTACTTGACTTGGAGGACTGCCACAGATTCCAGTGTCTGCTCTGACATCCGCCTTCACCCACTGCACGGCAGCCAGATCAGACACTCCTGCTCAGTGCCCTCCAGGAGCTTCCGATTGCAGCACAAATACAAAGGGGCCTTCTCCCTGTGGTCTGTCACTGTTTCTCTCTAGCCTTGCCTCTTCCCAGAACTTCCCTCTGTGAATCACCTGGCTGTGGCCATACCCATCTTGATGTTGCTCTTCTCAACAATGAGTTCACCCTCATTGAGGGACTAAACATTTTCAATTCCTTCTGCGTGGAATATATATATATATATTTTAAATAACATGTCTGGCCTTTAAAATATTTCCACATTTCAGCTCAAATGTCCCTTGACCAAAGATGCCTTTTCTGACCACTGGCCCTACAGTAGCCATCCTTCTGGCAAATTCCAACTAACCTCTTATCCTGCTTTATTTTTTCAGAGCGATTATCACCCTTGACAGTTTCTCTCTTGTATACACACGCCTCAGCCCTGCTCCCCTACTGCAGGAAAATACATACTCAGTGATGTCGGTCACCAGGCAGTACTGTTCATGCAAAGGATGAGCCTGAAACACAGTGGACGGTACAGGTGCACTCCAAAAAGCTAAAATTCCAATCATAGATGCTGCGGAACAAATAGCGCTGCACACCTTCTCTGGCCTTCACTTGCTTTTTGCCTTGCGGCGTGAGGAACTGCCTCACAGCTGCACTAACCGACAAGAATGTGAGATCACGGCAGGCCTTGTAAAGACACAGAGTTGAAAATTATTTGAGCCCTTCAGGTTTTGTAGTTAAGCAATTCGGTAGCATTAAGATAGGATAGCATTACTTCACGCGCCAACTTCTTTGCCAGAAAAATGTACGGAGAGGTGACATGGGGACACTGAGCATGTGCAAGAGGCCACGGGAGCCCTCTCAAGGCAGGGAAGCTCGCCAGGAACCCACAGCTTCTCAGTGGGGCCTGTGAACCTTGAAAATATACTAGTAGGGTCAAGTTGTAGGGGGGAAGCTATAAATAATTTCTATTTGTATCTTATATTATTATATTTATAGACTTATGTTAAAATGCAAAAAAAAAAAAACTCACATAAAACCAAATAGGAAAGAATAGAGCTTTCATGAACTAACACTAAGGGTGCTACTGGAACACACCAGGATGGGTAGCTGCTTGCAATGTTAGCATCCCTTTTCAAAGCGCTGGTTGAGTCCAGGCTATGCAACTTCCCACCCGGGGTCCTGCTAACATGCTTGGGAAACCAGCTGAACATGGCCCGAGCATCTGGGCCTCTGCCATCGTGTGACAAGCTGGGAAGGGACTCCTCCTTCCTGGCTCCAGCTGTTCCCAGCCTTGGCCACCGTGGCCACTGGACGAGGGAACCAGTGCATGCATGGGACATCTCTTTTTCTCTCCCTCTCTGTCACTCTACCTTGCAAATAAAGTCAGTTTTTAAACTGAAAAGAAAATTAACACTTTTTTTTTTTTTGCACAGTACAGCAGAAATACTTACATGGAGCAGTCAAGAAGAGCACGGTCCCAGCTTCTCACGCTGTTTGGTTGTGGCTATCAGCGTTTAATTCCCCTACTTGATCGCTACTCATTTTAGCTAATCTGTCTCCCACGGCATCTGAGTGTGTGACTCTGCACAGGTGCCACAGCCCCGCCACCCCATTACACATGTGAAGAAAGATTAGGTATAATCCTGCTCAGCAGACAGGCCAATCAGAAATGGTCAAGCTTTTAAAGATGCTGTCTCGTGCTTTCAGAAAGAGATTCCTTTTTGCTTGGTTAAAATCAGTGTTGCACATTCTGGTTTTATGAGGTCTGCTTTACTGCCCGATTACCTAAATACTTAAATGATTAATGAGGAAATTTCTCCTTTTGTTTCATTCAAACATTTCTTGTATGCCTCTTGAAGGACAGACAGGAGGGAAGAGACACTGCACCCAACACCTCAGACGGTGGTTTCCTAAAGCACTGACTTAACTGGATGACTCAAGCCAACAGAAATGCCCTCCCAGCACTCCACAATCACTTACAGTTTTGTTTTATTCTGAATGCTTAACTCTCCTGAATTACTTTGATTTTAAAATACAAAATTTCGTGCCACATGCTATAGTCTAATGGCTAAATCCTTGCCTTGTACCTGTCAGGGTCCAATATGGGTGCCAGATCATGTCCCAGCTGCTCCACTTCCCGCCAGCTCCCTGCTTGTGGCCTGGGAAAGCAGTCGAGGACGGCCCAAAGCCTTGGGACCCTGCACCCGCGTGGGAGCCGCAGGAGAACTAGGCTCCTGGTTTCAGATTGATTCATCTTTGGCCATTGTGGCTACTTGGGGAGTGAACCAGTGGACGGAAGATTTTTCTCTATACATTTCCTTCTCTCTGTAAACCTGCCTTGTCAGTAAAAATAAATAAATCTTAAGAAACAATAGAAAATATCACCTGATAAAATGTAGTATAATCTTAGAGGCAGATCAGGTCATCGAAATCTTAGTTATTTGGTATATGGAAAGAGAGGAACGTGTAAATCCAGACGCTGTGGTGCTGCAATAGCTACAGGAGCAGCTGATTCAGAGGCTGCAGGTGAAGAATGAGAAAGAGGCTACTGGAGGTTCTTAGGACTGTCCATTATATCCCTGACTAGTTCTAGACCCCAATGATCAAATACAAACTTACTAATATTCACATGATACCCAACTAGTGTTACAACATTTACAAATGGAGCACACCTAGTCTGAAAATTCAGTCATGAAGTGTGACCCGGTAAAGTGGATGCAAGTATTCTTTGTTTTTTGTGTTTTTTTAGATTTTTTTTTTTTAATTGGGAAGTCAGACCTACAGAGAGAAGGTGAGACAGAAAGAAATATCTTTCATCTGCAGGTTCACTCCCCAAGTGGCTGCAACGGCCAGAGCTGACATGATCTGAAGGCAGAAGCCTGGAGCCTCCTCTGGTCTCCCATGCAGTTGCAGGACTTGAAGGCTTTGGGCGCCCTTGACTGCTTTCCTAGGCTACAAGCAGGAAGCTAGATGGGAAAGTGGAGCAGCTGGGACATGAACCGGCACACATGGGATTCTAGCACATGCAAGGTAGCCTCATTTGCCAAGACTAATATTGTAAAACACCCAATCACCTGCAAAAATCTGAAACATCTCAGAAACCGCTAATTTTGTATAAGGAATACTTAATCTGTACCTGGTCATCTACAAAGTCCTGAGCGGCAATCATTGTAACTTCATTTCATTATCCCTCAGAAGAAGAAACTGAAAGATGCTGGAAGTAAATCATGCAGAATTACAGGGTACATTAGCTGGAAATAACCCTAGGATCTTTGGAGCCAGATTCCACGTGCTTCCCATAACAAAGTGTAGGATGTCAAAGTTATGGGTTACAGCTGTGCAGTAACTGACAAACTACTGTGTTACAATGAAAACACTGCAACCAGAGCGAAGAGGCTGCTCACAACTGAATTATTTCAAGAAGAAAAATGAGAAGGACAAGAAAGGCTGTTACTTAAAAAGTCATTTGGTAGGAAAGGAATTCAACTGCATACAGACAGCAAGAGATAAGGTCTTCTGGCAATACCAACATAACGACGGCACAATGCAACTTTACCAGATTCACATGAATTCAAATACTTGCTGGTAACTGACAGAACCAATAAACTGTTTTTTTTAAATAATCAGTATCATAACCACAATTTACCTTTTAAAGGGGGCATAGAAATTTGTATTCTGAGAACAGAAAATATAATCAAAATTCAATTAAAAAATCTTGTTAACACAAGTAGAATCTTTGCATTGAATTAAGTAAGGCTGCTCAATGGATTTTGTATTCTGCTAAAATTGTAAGAAAGCATCACTAATCTGAATTCTTAGAATCAACTTGTAAACAGTTCTACGTACGTTCTTTTGACATCTTGTTCAATCATTGATCGAAGCTCTTTATCCTGGAAGAATTTGTTCCAAAGACTCTGAAATAAGAAGAACCTCTGTTGACGTTCATGATTTTAATTTAACAACTTTTTAAAAATTGATTTTATTTGACAAGCAAAGAGATGAAAAGGCAGCAGCTAGTTTACTCCCCAAACACCTGCAATGGCCTGGGCTGAAGCCAGGAGCCGGCAACTCAGTCAAGGCCTCACCGGAGCTGCAGGACGCCCACCCCTTGGACCACCAGTGCTGTCTCAGGCCCTACATTGGTTGGAAGGCGGGCTCAGGCATTAACCCAGGAACACACACCCAGGCGGTCCATCGCGGGGATGAGTATGTAAAACGGCATCCTAAGTCACTGGACTGAAACACCTGCCTCTGCTCTGATTTACTCATTTAATTGATTGGATGTACACTTCTGAATTATTTTACATTTCAGATTGGAAAACTGAGCCGTCCTGTATACAGCATCTGGTGAGTGTGCCAGGCTTTGGCAGGGCAGTATGTGGACTAAAGCAAACAACTGACATGCAATACACTGCTTTCAGAATAAGTGGCAACCTGTCTCACCTGCCTTTTCTTGCAGCTAAGAGGGACTGAGAGATAAACGCAGAGCTTACCCCTTCATCCTGTGAGAGAGGATTATTGATCATCAAATCTTGTTGGCCAACCACCTTCCTTGGGTTTGTGATATGCTGGGAAAGTAAGAAAACATTAAACAATTGGAGGCTGAGTAATACAAAGCATGGATTTAAAAAAATCACATCAGATTTAATTTATTATTTACTTACTATTTCTTTAATGTTGCTATACCATGCTCTTAATTCTTTAATTCTACTTATCCACTGGCTTTTGTCTTGAGGAAGAACACAAAGAAACAGCTGTCAAGAAGAAACAAGAAAATCTTCATCAAGATCACAGTGCGATGTAAAACTGGCCAGACACACTCACCTGAACGCTGAAGTGGTGTGACAGTCACAATACTTCATTTTCATGTGATCATCCCAATTCCTGATCATTTATTTGGGGGAATATTTAAGGTACATAGTATTAAAATTTTAACAATAATCAGAGGCTAAAAAGCGAGGTTTCAAAGGCCACATTACAGAATAGACTCAAAACCCTCTCTACATGTATATTAAAAATGGAGAAAAACGTGCGGAGGTGAGAACCGTACTGATGATGACCCCAATCTCAGCGGAAGTGGCAGGGCGTTACTGAGAACTGATTCAACGAGCCATCTCTTTGTATCAGGCTCTGTTTTAAAACAAGCAGATGAATACGAGGAAAAACAGTGTGAAGACAGAGGTCACAGCCTGCAAGACAAAGTGGTTTCTTTCAAAGAAAAAAAAAATGCAATTTACAACAGGCAATCAGCTTGGAAAGCAACAAGCATTCTTGAAATGACAAATCTGATTTAATTTAGTTGGATACAACATTCAAATAAATCTGGATTTAGGTTTATTTTTAGCAAATGAAGGTTACTAAAAGTTAAACAACAGGCAATGGGGGTGGGGCACACATATTTGTACACAAATATTCTAGCAGCAGGTCTCCTGCCATTAATGCTTGCGTGTAACAGAAGAAAAATGTATTTTAATTATTAAATCTAAATTATTAAATCCAAAACTGTCTCACATATCACATTTCTTACTGTGTGTACATGCAGGCTCAGTGTGTTCACTTGGTGCAGATAACTACGAACGCTCACTACAAGTCGTCTTAGAAAGAGCCGAAACCCAAATTCAATTCAGTTTTGGAGAACAAAAGGCAATGCTATTTCAAAGTAATGAAAAAGACAGCTGCTGATGAGCAGTCCTCGTTTTTGTCACCAAAGGCTCTTCCCTTCCAGGAGAGACTGACTCAACTTCTCCCCTGTTGCCTTCACCTCTGTGTTTCTAAGCAAAGAAATGTGAGAAGTCTTTCCCACGCTCTGTGATGCCTACCTGGCGGCCCTTGGCGCAGGGAGAACCTGGAAGCTAACGGCCCCACCCTCTCCCTCCGCTGCTCAAGAATTACTGCAGACATCTTTGGAACATAAAACTGTTGCACCACCAAAAGACAGTTATTTCAAATCATTGCTCTATCATGACTAGTTATTCGGTACTAAGGTGGTTCAATCTCATTAGCAAAGGTCCTATCAAAGACAAACAGGAATGGCCAAACGACTGGGAGTAAGCTTGGAAAATTCAGTGATCCCGTCCTGGGTAATCTTCCGGGGCAGCAGGTAAGGTGTTGATATATTGCAATCACAACCTGTAAATAAATATTTTCTTCTTACCTTCCAGCAAATGCTGCGGAACCTGCTGCTCCTCAGCTGCCCATTAATCCCCTTCTGCCTTATTGTTGCCAAGTAATTGTTGTTTACAAATAGTTCTTCCCATTCTTTCCTGGAGGAAAGAAAGCAAAGCATGAGAACCCTTTTGTTAAAAGTCCTCTGCTTAGACAAGAGTGCTACAGGAAATTAATTTTAGACAAGTCTAAGAAAGGCAACTTTTAAAACGTGTATGTGTAGTTGTGTACTGTTGCTGAGTGCATGGCTGTCTTTTTGGACGCAGCTCTTCTGTAGATTTAATGAATATGTAGATAGCTATAATTATGCCAGCAACTGAAATTCATAATGTCTATGGAGGCTTTTCCATCTCCACTAAAATGCTGGTAGTGCACTTCAGCGAATAAACAAAAAAATGAATATTAATATAAATACTTGGTTCCAAATAAATACTTGAATGCCAAAGACATATTCGCACCAAAAATACACAAAAAAGGTTAACTGTTCATTACATTAATTCCTCATGTGAAATATCTGTTTAAATAAGCGCCTTTCTCTTTAATGTTAGGCTGGGCAGTTAGCTGTAATAAAGATGACTCGCTGTAGCTGTTAGTGCTACATTGAAATCGCTGCAACTTCTTTCTACATGATCAGTTTTAAAATTTTAACAGGTGCGGGCAAATTTGAAAAAAATAAAAAAATTAAAAAGCCTCACTGTAAAAACTGTGAAAGGCAAGCTTGAGTACCTTGCAGTACCTATGGCTGAGCAGATACACAACCGAAATATGCCTCCCAGGCACGCAGACACCAGGGGCCTAACACCTGTGCCTCATTAATATACAAGTAAATCTGCTCCACTGGGAAACAATTGGAAATTAATTGTCCCAAACCATTTACTGAGTTTGAATAAAGGAATTAGACCTATATTTCCTGCATTTTGTACCAAACCGAACATTAAGATTCATTTGTCAACAATGGAGACAAGGAAGATGAGCTTTACGAAATCTCTTTCAAATTTTATCATGGCACAATAAATTAAACTATAGTTTAAACTTTCTTAGCAATGCTGAAATCCTGGTCACGTTATCTTAGGAGAGACTTACTAAACAGCAAGCCAGCAACACCTCCAGTCAAGCTATACACAGGAGCCTGCAGTGGTCACCTGCCAGCTTCCAGACATCTGGAGAAAGGACATCTTGCCCACCGTGCTCAGAGCCTTAACTACAAGCAACCGAACACCTGAGCTCAAAAACCTGCCTGCCTGAAGGAGGTATCCTGAATGCCAGTAGTGTGACCAAAGACAACGGCCTGTTCCTCCCCGCCAGCAGCAGCAGGACTCCCAGGCATCACCCGCTGACATCTATTGTTAATCACATACTTTACGGCCAACACATTCTAACCTCACACTGAAACACATGCATTTCCGCCACCAGCTTCTTAATCAATCATACCTCTCTATTAGCAAGAGAAGCACTTAATGGGCCCGGCTCGGTGGCCTGGTGGCTGGGGTCCTAGCCTTGCGCACCAGGATCCCATATGGATGAAGCTTCTAATCCTAGCGACCCAGCTTTCTGCCCACCTCCCTGCTACCCTTCCTGGGAGGGCAGGTGAGGACAGTCCAAGGCCTTGGAACCCTGGACCCGCATGAGAGACCCGGAGGGGACTCCTGGCTCCTGGCTTTGGATTGGCGCAGCTCCAGCCATTGCGGCCACTTGAGGAGTGAGTCAGCGGACAGAGGATCTTCCTCTCTGTCTCTTCTCCTCTCTGTTTATCTCTGACTTTTCAATAAAAATAAAATAAATTTTTTTTAAAAAAAAAAGAGCACAAAAAAGCACTTGATTTTATTTGCCTGAGTATCATTAGCGAAACTTGAAGATGTTTGTGCTTTTGGAGTCACGAGAAGCTCATCTTTTTCAACCTTCCTTTCTTGTCCTTTGCTATTTTGAGTGACGCAGGCCGAAGGGGGAGGAGCCTGGGAACGTTCTGCTGCATTCCAGCATCAACAAAACCAGCCAGGCAGCTAGGGACGGGGCACAATTTACCCACTAGGCACTAGCCACTCCAACAAAATAAACTCCTTTTCTCCCACATCAACCCATGGAATAAGAGCTCCCAGGGCAGAGAACTATGAAGATACTATACGAGAAGTCTGGAGGAGTACATCGCAGCATTTAAAAATATATATTTTTAATAATCATTATAGTATTGCTTTTATTTTGGTAAAGCTTATTGACCCCCCCCCCAAAAAAAACATTCTTCATACATTAAAGACATTCTAATTTCTCAGCCACATTTTTTCCCAACTGTCTTGATTTTCAACACAGCGATTTTTAATTCATATATAATTTAGACGTAACCTTTGGCTGCTCCTTCCAGCGTTAGGAACAGCTCAGTCACTGTAAGGTCAGAAAATGACCACCGACGCGCTGGTGCTTTTAGTTCATGTGTCACCTGAAGCACTTTAAATGCTTCCTGCTTCTGAACGATGCCATCCACACTACGAGCGGAAGGCGTACCGAAGTTCTGCTTCACGCACTTTTCATAATTAGAGATAAGATAAGCAACAGGTACAGGAGTATATCTCAGGCATTCTTGTTTTAAACTAATTTTTATTATTTTCCATGATACAGTTGTGTTGGTGTAGGGAGCCCGGTGGCTACCTGTCCCTCTTCTTGCCTTCTTTCCCGCCCACATTTCCCCGTGTGTTGGCAGTCACATGGCGCAGCACGGCATTGCAGGTACAGAGGTAGAAAATCCGGAATGTTCGTTAACCGGCATATTGCACTGTGTCTCGGATCTCTCCTCTTCTCCATGAGCAGAGCTGCGTACTGTAAGGTATCTTCACTTCCTGGTATGCCAGTCTCCATCATACAGTTAATCTATGAAAATATGTTCGCTCATATATCTGCTAGTTTTGTATTTTGCATGAATGCTGCTTTGTATCAGAGAGAAGATACGATATTTGTGATTGGCTTATTTTACTGAGCATGACGGTCTCCAGTTGGGATCACTTTGTTGCAAATGGCAGAATTTCATTCTTCTGAATGGTTGAACATATATTGCAGAAATTCTAAGTACGTTAAACTCCTGTGGTCTGTGATCAAAAAGCACACATTACCGACTTCAAATGCATCTGAGACCTGCGGAAACCACAGCGGAGGAGAACTCACGCAGTGCTACGGCCTGAGAGGGAAGAGGACGCAGGGAGCCCTTCGGGGTGTTCCCAAATCAGCTCCTATTCACAGGTACCAGCAAACGGTGACAGCAGATACAGCTGGTGGCTAGATGCACTGCCATCTTGTCAAGCTAAGTAGGCTTGTAAGGTCAAGTTACATACTACTTATGTAATGAAGGATAATTATTTGTTAGCTTACATAAGACCCTGTGCCTTGATTGCGGTGCTGGCGCACAGAAAAGGAGACTAAGGCATGTGAATGGGAAACATTTTCTCTGAAATCTACAATCATTTCAATGTATTCGTGAGCACTTAGAGTTCTAATTAAGGCATAACATCTCACACTGATGAAAAGCTCAACAAGAAGAAGAGAGAGGCCACGAGACAATCTACTCTCTGCCTGCGCCTCCCACGGGGCAGCGCTTCAACGGCACATTGTGACACACGCTAAACATTTATTAAGTGCCTACTGTGTTCTTAGCAGTGACCAAGGATTTTGTTTTTTTAAGGATGAAGTGAAGGGACTAGAACAATGGATGAGTAAAACCAATAATAACATAATTTATACAAAGCACTCCGTTAGTACAGGGTGGGAACAATGATTTGATACTTCAAAATTACAAGTCAGGTTTTGAAATGACTTCAGCACCTTAGGAACTGAAATATTAATTTCTGGTTACCAGATTACACAAACCCTGGAAGAAAAAAAAATACTGAACGGTTTAGCACATGTAGCAGAGCCAGAGCACACTAAATCTTCTTTACAACCACAGAGAATGGGGCACCGACCCTGGAACTTCCACAACACACAGCAAAAGAACGGGGAACTCCAAGGATTCAGGTTAAAAAATTAAAGGAAAAGCTGTCATGAAATTTTGTCTTTTATTTAAGAATTTATATAGAAGAGGATTTCAAAGAGTTCATGGAAAATAGTATTACGTGATAGATTTGCGGGCCAGTGTAGCTTCTGAAGGCCACGGACTGCAATGAGGGCACGCCATCTGAGTGCCAGCCAATGCGCCGCTCCGCCGGGGACCCAGCTGCCTGCCAATGCAGCCGGGAGAGCAGCGCTGGACGTTCCAGTGCTGGGAGTTACTGGATGCAGCTCCCGGCTCCTGCCCGGCCCAGCCCTGGCCAGTGTGGCCCTTTGGGGAGTGAGCCAGTGGATGCAAGATCCCTTTCTCCTTCTCTGTAACTCTCTTAAATAGTTTTAATTTTCTTTTTTAAAAGACAAGTTTATTTTAGTGTAAAAATTTCAAAATTCACTCTCAGTTTTTTCTTGAGACACACTTTTTTTCTGAATGCTTTGAATGCCCACGACGAAGGTAATGTGCAGAGAGAGTGGGGCGGCAAGAACAAGTAACTACAGCAATGACTCCAGCAACGAGCTCATTCCCACGCCAACGAGTCTACTTCTGAAAACACATTTCATATAACTCACCTCCACCTTTGCATTAACCTTTCTTTCCAAATGAGGAAACTACAGTAAAAACAAAACAAAACAAAAAGCGAGAAAACCCTAAATAACTGCTTCTAGCAACAAGGTGGGGCTGAGATGCGTGAGTTCTTGCTCAGATGCTTTCCATCTGGGAATATGACATCTAAGGTCATAGGGGTGTTTCCCCAGGTAATCTGAAAGGCAGGCTAACAGCAGCTGCTGTGAGGGCTAAAAATTGCATCTAAAATTGTGGGTCATGGCTGTGGCACAGTGAGTCAGACTGCCACCTGCTATGCCGCTATCCCATAGGGGCACTGGTTGCTCTACTTCTGATCCAGTTCCCTGCTAAGGTACCCAAGAAATCTGAAAAGGATGGCATTTGGGCCCTGTGTGTATGGGGAGAGAACCTGATGAAACTTCTGGATCCTATTGAAATAATTTGGGGAGTGAACCAACCGATGGAAGATTCTCTCTCTCTCTCTCTCTTCCTCTCTTTAATTCTGCC